TAAGTAGCCTCAGACGTAGTTCAGCTTCAGTACTCCTTTTACTCTCCGTTTCTTCTTCTTCTTACACACAGCTTTTTCACATACATATACAGCGCTCCCTCTATTGTCCTTTTTGTGCAATAGCAGAACATAACAATGCTCTTGTGCTGAAGCAGACCATGGCCGTTTTCTCAGTTCACAAGAACACAAGCACATGAAAATGTACATGTACACATTTATTTTGAACTGTCACACATCCATCAAAGTCAAGAGGCGGGACTATGGCCACTCCCTTAGAAACCCTAATATCTGATTGGCTGCTTCTCCGTGAGCAACCAAAGCCAACATCTTCATGGTTTTCTTTTACTGTAAAGTCAACTTTATTTGGTATGACCTGATACAACTTTTTCAATTTCCGATATATACAGATGTGCAGCTTTATGACTTGGCAATACCGATATTGACCTGATACAATACAAACAAATCATTCCAGCTTTTATTACTTATTTTATACTGTCCAATGTTAGACCTGTCTCAATCAAGTAATATTACTAAAACAGGGAACAAAAGTCAACAATAAAAAGGTATGAAAACAATTCTCCCTTGTAAAATTAACCAATAAGTAACAGAACCTGTTACCAGAAGCTGAGTGTTTCTATCAGCATGAAAATATCAGAGATTTCAGATGTTGGCCAATAAAATCCAATATTAGTTTTTAGTTTATATCAGATTGGGAAAATTCTAAATATTATAGTGGGAAATGGAAGACATAACATCATAAATGTTTTGCATTCTATCTTCAGGACATTGCGTGAGCAACTTTAGCCTCTATATTCCTTCTTTGGTCTGAAATATTTATAATGAGCATGCTAGTACAGTGGGAGCTGCCTGAGATTTCAGTAGAATTAAAGTAGGCCTTGCCCTCTGAATAAAGCTGGGTCACTTCTCTCATTAACTTCTTAGAGGCAAAACTACATATGCAGAAGCAATAATTTCTGAATTTATTTCCAGTTTTAAGGAATTAATGACACATTTAGATACCTATTTCATAAGTTAGTTATTTATTGCATTGCGGCACTCATCCTACTCCATACAGAGGCACTTCAGTTGTGTTAAAATTAGTGTTGCACAGATGCAATTTTTTGGCCCCGATACCGATATGCGATACCTGGCTGTGTCGTATCAGCCGATACCGATACCATCTTTTTGAAATTGATGTGTGTGTATATATGAAGAACTACATACTACTTGGACGAAAAATAATTGCCATCATGGCTTTGTCAAGCTGCTACCTACCTTTGTA